GAAAAAAAAGTTTAAGCCAGTCCTTTATAAAGTTTTTAGTTGATTTATTTAATCTTCAGTTGATTTTGCTCTTTAAATTCTATTTTATTATGAGATATCTCATATTGTTTTAAAATATAAAAACATATTTTGATGTTTTTGAATTAGTTTTTAAAATGCTTTTTTCACAAGAAACATCAAAATTTGGACTGTTTCTGGATTGTTTAAGAATCAAAACGCATTTACCCCATGTGTTCCCTTGTGGAAAAGAAATGGAATTTTCTGACTGGCTCTAAAATTATTAGTTGTTGTTATTATTATTTTTTGCTTGTGTTGAAATTGCTCTTCTTGGGCATTGGTATAAATTTATGTCCCCTGTTATTGTAGACAACGCATAGAACCATAGAGAAGTAGGGCTGGACAGGATCTCCAGAGGTCATCTAGTCCAACCCCCTGCCCGAGGCAGGATCATCCCTAAACAAACCATCCCGTACAAACCATAAACTAAACTCCACATAAGACTACCAACAACCCTGACACAACACAGACCAAACATCCTAACCTGCCATAGGTAAAGCAGAGTAACCACCGTGGCCAATGTGCTGCTTCTATACAATGTTGTCAATATATGCTCAAGAGATCTTGAGAGAGAGTCAAAAACCCCCACAGTCTTTATCAATCTGACCATGGGGTAGAATTTCTTCCATCATATAATACCTTTCATAAGGTTGTGAGAGGCAAAGATTTCTTAGGGTGATACCTTCTATTGGACCAAGTATGTAGTTAGCTTAAAGGTTAGACAAGCTTTCAAATGCAAGACGTTCTTTGTTAGGCCTGTAATCACAGGAAGCCAGGCACAGAACAGTGGACATGGGTGTGGTGGGCTGTGGATTTCCAGAATATAGTGATTTGCAGGGTGTCATCCTCGGTATGGCTTGCAGTATTTAGAAAGTTGATGTTAGTGTAGGAGTATTCCAGAGAAATTTTGATTGGTGGATGATGGTTGTTAAACCTGTGGTAGAAATCAGTGAGTCTGGATGTTCAGTCCAGATGATGAAAATATCATCTATATAATTCAGGTATAGTACAGGTTTGGTGCAATTTTAAGATTTTTTTCCCCTCAAGGTGGCTTTTGAAGAGATTGGCATATTGAAGGACCATCTTTGTGCCTATAGCTATGCCCATGGTTTGGAGGAAGTCACAATTGTTGAAAGAGAAGTTTTTGTGGGTGAGGTTAAAGTGGATGATTTGTGCAACATATTGTTCCAAATCTAAGTCTACTCCATATTCTTAAAGGTATTTTAGGCAGGTAGTAGTGCCTTCATGGTTTGGGATGTTAATATACAAGGTGGTGATATCCATGGTTGCAAGGTCTTTTCAGGTAGGTGGTTGATGTTTTGGATTCAGTTGAGGAAGTCTGAGGAAACTTGCTCTTTGAGAGACACATGGTTTCAGGATAGTTTCTATGCATCCTGATAGCTCACAACATTTCAGAAAGGTATTGCATGCTAATGTAAAGGTAGTTAGGGTTTTTATGCTGCCAATATGATTACGCTATATATGGTTAAAAATGTATTCTAATTTCCAGTCAGAAATATCTGTGACCACTTAGTACCCACTTGTTCTTGCACAAAATGCACTCTTAGCTTTAATAGCTCTTCTCTCCCCTTTTGGCATTTGCTCCCATGGTTTACTACTAGATTCTTAGCCTTCTTTTTGCACAGCTTAAACCTGTAAATTCTCATTGCCTCCTTTCTTCTGATTCTGCTCTCCATTCCCTTGATCATCCTAGCAGCCCTTCTCTGCACCTTGTTCCAGATTAAATTTATCCTTTCTTGAATAAGGGTGATCAGATCAGTGTATGTTTCTTTGGTACTGACCTGAGGTCTGACCAGGAAATTGTGCGATAGTTTTAATACTGTTCTTTCTGTCTTACAGTAACGTCTTCCATCAGGTGTTACTGATGGAAACATCTTAACTGTTTACAGATAGAATTGCATTTTCCCCTTTTTATCACTGCAGCACAATAACACCTCCTCTAATCATCTGGTACACTTGGATGCCTCTTGTTCTCAGTTGTCTACAACTGAAGAACTTTCAGTTGAAAGAATTTGCTTTTATTAACCCTGCTTGTATTTTATGCAATCGAATTTCATTCATTTCGTCTTGTATGTCATTCTAGTATTTGGACAAACCACTTTGGTTGGTGAATATCACCAATTATAGTACAAACTTTTCTGGAAAAAAACATTTTCCTGAATGTAACTTATTTCATAGTTTTGTAGTAGCTAGGGTCAGGAGGGACCTGAACAGATCATCTAGCCTGACCCCAAACAGTGCTATTTGGTATTTTATAGTTCAGACCCATTGTTGGATGAGTGCAGAAGGAAATGGACTTGACTTGTCCTCTGATGATTCAATCATAAAACATTGTCCTTGACTCTTCCTTTTCTGATGGGCCAGGAGAAGGAGCAAGGAATCTCTGACAAACTTTGCCAGATATCCCATTCTCAGGCAGCACCAGTCCTATCATAGTTTCATAGTAGCTAGATCATCTAGCCTGACCCCCTGCCACAGGCAGGAGTGAATGCTGGGTTCACAAGACCCCAGACAGGTGATCGTCCAACCTCCTCTTGAATTTGCCCAAGGTAGGGGCAAGGACCACCTCCCTGGGAAGTTGGTTCCAGATTTTGGCCACCCTAACTGTAAAACATTGCCTTCTGATCTCCAACCTAAACCTATTCTCCATCAGCTTATGACCATTGTTCCTTGTCACCCCAGGTGGTGCTGGGGAGAAAAGAGCTCTGCCTATTTGCTATTGATTCCCCCTGATGAGCTTGTAGGCAGCCACCAGGTCCCCCCTTAGCCTCTTCTTGCTGAGGCTGAACAGGTTCAGGTCCTTCAGTCTCTCCTCATAGGGCCTGTCCTGCTGCCCTCTCACCAAGTGGGTGGCCCTCCTCTGAACCCTCTCCATAATGACTCCAAGATCCCTTTCCGCCTCTGTGTTTCCAAGAAGGGAACTCCCTAGCCTGTATGTATGCTGTGGATTCCTTCTCCCAAGGTGCAGCATCCTGCATTTGTCTATGTTGAACCCCATCCTATTCTCATCTGCCCGCTTTTGTAGTCTGTCCCAATCTAGTTGCAGCCTCTCTCTCCTTTCAAGTGTGCCCACCTCCCCCCACATCTTAGTGTCATCAGCAAACTTGGAAAGCGTGCTTTCCACCCCCTCGTCCAAGTCGCTGATGAAGATGTTAAACTGAAGGCCCGAGGACCGAGCCCTGGGGTACCCCACTGCTCACATCTTGCCAGGTTGAGTACAACCCATCCACCACTACTCTCTGGGTGCACCCCATCAGCCAATTTTTTACCCATCCAACTGTGCAGGCATCAATGCCATAGTCATTTAATTTATTGATAAGGATGGGGTGAGAGACAGTGTCAAAGGCCTTCTTAAAGTCCAGAAAGACTGTCCACACAGACACCATCATCTAAGGATTTAGTTACTCAGTCGTAAAAGGCAATCAGGTTGGTCAGGCAGGACCTGCCTTTGGTGAACCCATGCTGATTGCCCCTGAACATGATCTCCCTTGCAGGCCCCGCACAGATATGCTCCTTGATGATTCTCTCCAAGAGCTTCCTGAGCACCGATGTGAGGCTTACTGGCCTATAATTACTTGGGTCCTCCTTCCTCCCCTTCTTAAAAATAGGGACAACATTAGCCAGTTTCCAATTCCCTGGCACCTGGCCAGATGACCACGAATGCTCATACAGCCGGGTCAAGGGCTCCGCAATGACCCCTGCCAGCTCCCTCAACACCCTTGGGTGGAGGGGATCTGGACCTGCAGATTTAAAAATGTCTAGCCCTTCCAGAAGATCCCTAACTACATCTGCACTGACTGAAGGCTTGATAGAGCTATCCCCAAGATTGTCCCTACCTCTGGTAGGTGGGATATCACGGTCCCTGTTCAAGAAAACAGAGGCAAAAAAACTGTTAAAAATATCAGCTTTCTTGTCTGGCATGGCCACCAGATTACCGTTTGTGTCTTGCAGGGGCCCTACATTGCCTGGTGCCCTCTTCTTGCTCGGAGGATCTCCCCCTTAAGGTATGACCATCCCTCATGGGCTCCCATCTCCTCTACCTTCTGGGCCCTTAGTTCTTCCCTCACTAGTCTCCTAAGCTCATTGAAGTTGGCCCTTCTGAAGTCAAGGGCTTTAGCCTTGGTGTGATCCCTAGACACCCTGCGTTGGATAGTGAAATCCAGCAGGTGATGATCACTATTGCCCAGGTGGTCAAGGACCTGCAGTCCCCTCACCAGGTCATCCCCTATGGCCAGGACCAGGTCCAGCAAGGCGTTACCCCTAGTGGGGCTGTGCACTTCCTGGATAAGGTGAAGGTCCTGTAATACAGCCAGGAACCTATGCGAGCGGTCAGACCTGGCTGTCTGCTCCTCCCAGCAAATGTCTGGGTAGTTTAGGTCACCCATGACAATAACATCCCTTGACCTAACTGCCTCCATAAGCTGACTGGAGAAGTCCTGGTCTAGCTCTTCCCCCTGGTTGGGTGGTCTGTAGTAGATACCCACCGTAAGGTCCCTATCAGGTTACATGAATTGAAAATTGAATCCCGAAACTACCTTCTCTCTTCCCATACAGGTGGTGCTGTGATCAATGCAGGCTTTCATTTGAGAACTTCTCTTTGTTTTTCACCATCTTGCTTTCTAAAGCACATTATGTTACCTTGTGTACAGATGCTGTATAAAAAGAAATTGTGGTTTTTTTTTTCAGGCAGAAAACATACACTGGAGGACGCTTTTTCTTTTATTAATTTCAGTCTTTGAATACCAAATAAATTATTTTCAGGTTTTTTTGAGGATGAAAGAAGACACAGATGTGCACACTGCTGATAGTCAAAACTGAAATGCAAAGATGTTACAGAAGGACTCGAAGCATCCAAATTACTCCTGTTTCCATGGGATTTATGGGTTCAACTTTCATTTCACTTTGGTTCTTTTCTGTTTTAGGCTAATCACACATTCAGTTTTGTGGAGAATCTGAAGACTTATGCAAAGACATGGCTCAGGATGTCCAAGATGTTTAAACATGGCGAAAATTTCTTCATGCTTAGTCAACTTCAGGTTGGTGAATTATGGGCAACTACCTAGTTTCTAATATTAACAATAGAAACTACAATTGAACAGTAGAGGTGCCTGTGTAGGAGGCCACATACAAGTGTTACATTTCTATCGGGAGAACCACCATTCTCCTGTTAGAAACCACAAGTATACATACTTTCTCATTGTTTCTTCTCGATCAAAAATGGCAGCTCCAGGAGAAAAATAACCCAACCTTCACCTGGCAGAAGTGGCTTCTTGGTGAGTTTTTCACAGGAGAACAAATATTTGTACACTTCCCTGTAGCTTTACTCCTCCTGGGGACCAGGAGAAGTTCAGCTATGGGCAAAATCTCCTGTGCCTTCCAGAGACAGGGGTTATGCTGGTTTGGAGAAGGCACAGGAGACAGCTGCTCCTCATTTCTTGTAGGCTGAGGTGAGAAGCAGCTGCTAGCTGCTCCCTGCTGGGTCCTCACACACTGGGGACTCTAGTGTGAAGAGTGGGCAGGGCACTTTGTCACTACTATTTCTGCTTGGTGCCTGGGAACTGAGTGGAGAGAGCGTTGAAGGAAACTCCATGCCTGTTCTACACAGCAGGAACAGGAAGACTGGAGCAGCCACTGCTTCTCAAGCTTTTCCCAGACTGGGATCACCCAAGTCTCAGGAAGGCACCAGGAACAGGGGTGGGAAGGTTGCTGGCTGAATGCCTGTATGGCTCCTTCTCCTGGAATCATTACTAGTGGTGGAAGTTTACCACCGCTAAAAACAAATGCTTGTATGCAACAGAAATCATGGATCTAGAGCTAGGAATATGCTCAGGAATGTACAGAAGCTCTACTTTCAGGAGCAGCAGTTGCAGAGATGTGGTAGTCCCATGTGGTACAGTTAGTGCATATATAGATTTTAAAATATAGGAGTCGTCTGCCTGCATAGTTATGGAGAAAGTTTCTGTAATAGGGGTACTGAAGAAAGTGTCTGTGTAACAGTGGGGTTGTACTGCAGCTTATCAAACCTGTAAGGTTGTTACTAAAAAGTACTTTAAAAAGTATTTAAGAAAGTGATACTACCCATCTCCAGAATTCCTATATAATACTGAAAATATAATGAATAGGACAGTGGCAAGCAATATCTAAGGCAATTGGCAAGATTTTAAGGAATAAAATAATAGATGGAACTTCCTTAATGCTCATCTGCATCTCCCAATGGTTCATGTAATTGATGTTTCCAGAGGGCTGATGGGGAAAATGTAAAATGCAGTACTGATAAGCAAAAGCAGTGAGTATATAAACAAAGCACCTTGTTAATAGTTCTCCTTCTGCATATTTCCAGGTCTCACAATCATGCTTTTAACTCACTAAAGTGTAATTTTGCCATGTTTTACTCTCTAAGATTTGCAGAGCTATTAAGCTTTTGGCAAATAAATAGGATTCTGTTGTGGCTCATACATCAACGATAGAATTGTTAATTAAGATTCAATTAAGGAATGCTGCTTGTGATCATGCATGCAGCTTGCTGATCCCAGGATGCTTTTGTGAAATGAACACTTAGTTCTTTTTCTCTGAAACTGAACAAATGAAATGAAGACATTGAGATAAAAAACACAGAATATCAATGTGCCTTTTCTCCGTGGAATATTACCCTTTTTATTATTAATAATGGTAACTAATAAGTTGCTTTAACATTATGTTTTTTCCTCCAGAACAAGGAAAGAAAAGTCTCTGTCCCAGGGAACTTACAAGAAAAGTAGAGGCATGATTCAATTTGTTTTAGGGTAGGAGAGGTGAAGGAAGTCTAAGCGTACTACGCTAGGTGTGTGTGGTTAGTCACTATGCATGGATATGGCCTGTTTCTGTAAAGTGTCTGCTGCTGTTATTTAGGCAGCATTCAGCGTGAATTACTCTGTCAATAATTCCACCTAAGTCACAGGAGGGTTTACTAATGGATGTGTGGGCTCCTGCACTGTAAGAAGCAGACTGAGACCCAAGAGAAGCAATGGTCCTGAAGTGAAGGTGGAAGCCAAAGATTTAAGAGACCAGTGGGCATTCTCCTGACTTCTTGTACTGCCATGGAGATGTCCTTCTCTGAAATGGGAGTTATAGGATTTACTTTCCTTACAAGGATGCTATAAGGAAAGATGCATAGAAGATTGTAAGACACTCAGACACTATGGAGATGGGGGCCATATGAGTATCAAATATATAGAGAGATAGTTAATGCCATGGTAGGAACACGAGAAAAATATCATGAAGTGTTCTTTTTATTTTCTTTAAATTACAGGCTACCTAGGTTAGAAAAACTACATGCAGTCTTATCTAGTGATTCAGGTCTCCACAGGCTTAGACTACTTGTTAGAAATCATTACTTACACAAAGATAACCAAGACTAGATATAAGAAGAATTACCTTTAGTACAAGCAGGGCTATTTTCCAGCTTTGTGAAACAATTATGGTTTAGAATGCATGATGCACATTCTGTTTTGAGTAAGCAGAATGGCTAGGTAGTTTGTGATAAAGAAGAAATAGTTCTCTTGGTGCTGTCTTCTAAATCATTTGAATACTAATAGGTAATTTAAAAGGACATAGGAAAAAATAATCAAAATCCCAGGGTGTTTAGCATTCAGACTCTTGTTTCTGAAGTTCGGAATGTTTTTGCTATAGAGAAACTATTCTCAACAAATGGTAGACTACTTATATTATTGGGAACTTGTGTTGTACCTAAGTACAAAAAGGGAGGCTGGGTTGGACCCATGAGAGTAATTGAAAGATCTGTTCCTCTAGCATTGAATAATTGTCTTAGATTCTTCCTGTTGTTGGATGAATAGTCTGTTGTCTTGAAGATTTTATACTTTGGCTATGCCAGACTTGTAGGAATTATAAGGGGTGGCCATTGAAGGCAAAAATGCTGTAAAGTGTTGAGGATTAGATTGCTCATAAAAGAGGTTTTAATCAGTGGTGCTTCGAAGTCAGTTATAATAACTGTAATGTAGAATCTTTTTAACTGCACCTTGTTGTGAAGGGCACTACTTATTTTAGGGCTCCATTACTTCTACTTCTGGAGCACTAATGCCATATGTTGGAATCTAAAATATTGAATTTGAAAATTGATTTTTTTAAAGCAAATTTCCTATAGTGGGCATTAAAAAAGGCTTTCTATGACCCTTTTAGCCTTGGTTGTGGTATGACCAGTATGTGTATCTATTGCTATATTGAAAGAAGAAAATGTCTAAAAAGACAGAGGGAAATTGAAATAACTCATTGTATAGAATATGAAGAATCATATGTAATATGGTGCATCTACCCATGGCTTAATTCTTTGCTGTGTACTTTGAAAGGAATTCAGGGAATCAGTTAGAGTAGGCTGGACAGCTCACTGTCCTTGGTAAAAGGCATGGAAGTGGGTAGGGTGGAGTGGAGTTGTAAAGATTTAGGGTGTCAATTGGAGAATTTGTTTCTTATCTAGTGGGTTGTTTGTCTTTTATTGTAAGCTGCTCTGAGACTTCCTGGATAGGGCAAGATTTTTATATATAAATTATATATATGTGTGTGTGTATATTTATATAAAAAGTATAATACCTTCAGTCTCCTTGAATTGAGACATATGGCTGCCTTATTATATATAAGATATCAAATATGATAGATTATGCAGGGGTTCTAACACTTACTGGAGAAACAGTTCACTGGGAAATGTTTGGGTATAGAACAAATGGAGAATTTTCTCCTTTTCTGGAAACCCATAGCTGATCTTAAAAGCCCCACCCTTCGTATAAAACATGTTAAAATCTCTGGGGCGGTGGGTATGTGTATATATGCGCATACATACACACTCTTTAAATTTATCCTCAACACATCTGTGAAGTAGGAAAACATTGTTAATTCTATTTCCCACGTCAAGAACTGATCATAGGAAGATGAAGGCTGTGACCACCTGCAGTAACAGATCCAGGAACAGGGCAGGGAGGATGAGGCCACCCTGCCACCCACTTTGGTTTTGCCGTGCATGTGTAATGAGCTCTGAGCTTAATGCCTGATCAGTGCAAGTTGCTGCTGGATCTTCACATGAGCAGTGGACTCTGAGTTCACCAGCTAGATGGGGGCAGGAGTCTGGGCAGAGTCCCTACTTTTGCCTGGCTCTGGAGCCTGGGGGTGAACACTGTTGCTGTTCATCCTTACCATCTCTTCCTCTTCCTGGAAGGGATGCTCTCACCCCCTCCCCCCCACTCCCCCCGGGCTCTGGGGGCAGTGCTTATCCCCTGGGCTCCAGAGCCACATGAAAGCAGGGACTCCAGCCAGACCCCATGCTGAGAGCTCATGTGCAGTACAGCCACAGGGGTGTGTGACTGTGCTGCCACATCTTCTCTGGATCCACCCTTTACAGCATGGTACATTTACTAGGACTACTGTGGTACCCTTGAGCACACTAGGCAAGTCTTCATGAGCTGTCCCGTATGCCAGATGCAGTGCAACAACATTTGAATGGTGCCACAGGCAGTCATATTATCTTTGTTTGTCTAATTGGCCCTATATCTCATCAGTGCTAATTAACCTGCCTGAAGTGCTCCATGAAATGCTGTTTAGGAAGTGCAGCTTGCTTGAGGGCATCCCTGCCGTGGATGGAAAACTTGCCATCTAGAAAGTGGCCCAGTGACTTGTGCCAAGATCATGTGAGAAATCCATGGCTGAAGAGGGTGTTAAATGTGAGTCAATATATACTTCCAGCACAAGTGAATAGTATAAGCATTGTATTGTAAATCATATTTCTTGTTTCTAGGAAGCTTTGCAAAACAGTTTTATAAAGAACTTTGTAGAAAGTCACTTGAATCTTGATGTGGGAAAATTTGTTGGCAAGCTGCAAATATATGGTATGTATACCTAAATGCATGCTTATTACCTTAGCAGGCTTTGCGTTTGACTTAAATTTGCTCATGATTTGCTGTTACAAATTTCATTTCACCTTGGTTAGATAATCCTTCATTTTAGTTTCAAAAGTTGTTGTTGTTGTTTCTTTTAATTGTTTGTTTGGAAGAACAGGATAGTCTTAACACACTCTAAAGACTTGGAGGTAAGTGTCACAACCAAATTAATCAGTGCCCATGTCACTAGCAAGAGATGCACACAGCAGTCAATTAAGGGTTAAAGAAATCTCTGTCCAGAAGTTCCTGATAAAAAAATCCAAGCAAGAGTTGTATATAATTTATGCCCACGTCACAACCGAGAAATGAAACTTAAGACTGGTCAGGGTGAAAGGGGATAGCCCTGCCATAAATCCCTGCAATAAAACCCGGAGGGAGAACTATAGATAATTGGTCAGCTGAAATAAAATGCTAGGGAAAACTATATATAATTGGTCAAAAAATAAGCGTAAGCTCCTCACACGTAGCACACACGTAACAGGTAGAGAAACCTAACCCACTACCTTGTAACTTGAAGAGACAAAGAGCTGCTACCTGCCAAAAAATTAAAAATTCCATATAACGGTTCATGATTGGGTATCTCTGTCAAACACCTCTGCCTATAAATAGTTTAACGGTTTCCGCCCAAGGCGGAGAGCTCTGGGGATTTCTGAGCAGAAACACCTGTGTTCATGTTGCCAGAGAGAGAGATTTGGGAACCTGATCAATTCCCAATAAACTCCCCGTCATCGGAAAATATTGACGTAGAAAAGTCTTGCTAGCCCGAGCGTTCCATCACCACGTATGTCATTACTTTGCTGTAACCTGAATGCGTAGACTCAACTCTGTAACCGAAGCTGTAATGGAACAAAGGCTTGCCTGCGTCGTCATCACTATCTAGGCGACGTAAGTAAACAAACTCCTGTAACCTACACGTGTCTGTGTCTGGTTAATTCCACTCCATCCATCACTACCCGCCTGTTGAGGTGAAAGGTTTACTGCCCGGCTCCGGGAGTCAGCAAGCAGCTGACCGGCCGCTGCTCTGATTCCCGACAGTAAGGAGAAAATAAGATAGAATGCAGCCTAGTTTATCAAAGATAGACTGTGTCAAGGAGACCCATTGTCTTCCTTTGATAAGATAACCGATAATGGAAATGGGGTAACTCTATGGAACTTTGGAAAAACATTTGGTGTGGAAGAGAATTATGAGTCATGTAGGAGGAGATGAGGATTAGTATGATGAAAACTGTCAAATGTGTATGGAATGGGATAAAATGCAGATGACAACAATAGATAGTTCTGATAGGGAGATCAGGGCTGGATTTTATCTGGAGTTCCTCAAGGATTAGTCCTGGGACCAAAGTTCCCTCTAAGGAGTAGTGGTCTGTGAGCGCGCTGCCTTGGTCCATGAGCGTGCTGCCTCGGTCTGGCATGGGACGCTGATTGAAGGAGGCTGGGGGCTGCGGCTGAGAGGCTGGGGGCCAGAGGCTGGGGCCAGAGGCTGGAGCTGGAGGCTGGGGCTAGAGCCGGGGGCTGGTGTGGGGTCTGCTGGCTCTGGGGAAGTGCTCCACTCCCCTGCATCAGGGCCGCGCCAGCCCCCGGGGGCATGTCCCCCAGTGTCCTGGAGCTGGCGGAGCTTCACTGGGGCAGGCAGCAGCTTCTCCCCAAGTTGTGGCAAGGCAGGGATGGAGCCTAGGGCGGGGAGCTGGTGTGGGGTCCGCTGCCTCCGGGGAAGTGCTCCACTCCCCGGTCCTGATGTGGGGGAGTGGAGCACTTCCCCGTAGCCAGCAGAGCCAGCACCAGGCTCCCGCCCCAGCCTCTCCTGGTGCGCGGCCTTGAAAAGGCTGTGCACAGCCACACTTTTAGTTGTGTATGGCCACGCACGTGTGCACATTAGAGGGAACCTTGCCTGGGACCAGTCTTATTTTATGTTTTCATTTGTGATGCTGATGCAAAAACATAGGAGAGTGCTAATGAAATTCTCTGATGGCACAAAGCAGGGGAAGCATCATCGATACAGAAGATTAAAATGTCATCGTTGGAGTAATAAAAATGGGATGAAATGTAATAGCACAAAGAGCTGGTATTGTTCAGCATAGCAAAATGAAGGCTGAGAAGGGGAGTAGGATTGCTCTTTACAAATACAGATAATTAAATATTGGGGAGTAAAAAGAGGTATTTAAGATGGCAAGAGAGTATTTAGATGTAAACAGGTGATGAGCAGATTTTTAGGCCAGAATTTAAGAGGAGGTTCCTACCCAGCAGAGGAGTGAGGGTCTAGAACCAGCCATTCAATAGGAGGAGTAGGGAAGAAAACCAAACTGGTTCTAAGATGTAGTTTAATAAACTGATATGAGCGGAATGATATGATGTGGTTGTCTGGAGTAGTGGGACATGGGACATAATGACCCAGAAGGTTGCTTTGAGCTAATGATCCTTGGAGTGTTTATTTTGGATACAAGATTCTTTGTTTGTCCCTAGTTCATTTTCCAGTACCTTTGTAGTACCAGGGCCAAGATATGGAACACAATACAAAGAAAGAAACAAAAACAGCATGGCAAAGTTTGCTATTTTTCATTAGTAATTTTTGTTTTTCAAGTATCATAGGTTAGGGGGTGTTTTTCTGTTCTTAAAACTATTATTTGATTAAATTTTGGAACTTCCTTCAGATTTTATTTGTTCATAAATGTAAATGTTTGATTTCCATATAAGTAGACACTGTGTCATGTATATTGTTAAATATTATCTTTTACTTACAGAAATATTTAATTACAACATACTCCAAGAGAGCAGCAAACTAGTTGATATGTCTTAAGCTAAAATATTTAAGTGATTAAGTCGGGAGAGAAAATTTTAAAATTAGTTTTTGATGTATTATTCAAATTAAGGCCTGATAAAGATCAGCTGGTGGAGAAATTTCAGTTGATATATCTATTTATACTTATCCCAATTAGTATTAGGAATGTCATAGTTCTTGGAATGCTATAAAACAAAGAATGTTGCATTATCTTTCCTTTGTGTAGTCTGTTAGGAACAGCGGTAGATACATGTGATATTTCCAACCAAGTTACATTCCCCCTGGATCCAAGAATTCATACCATTGCTTCCTGGTACATCTACTATCTGTTAAGCTTGACTTTCTCTCTAGTCTTCGTTGACCTCTGTTTTCCTGCCAGTGTTGCCTTCCCTCCAGATCATGGCACATTGTTGCTCCTCTACCTTCCCCCTGCAATCCCTGCTCTTTTTTTCACTGTGTTCTGATGTGTTTGCCACCATTCTCAGTCAGATTAGTTATTACCTTAATTTATAAGGATCAAAGACTTGCATGTTTCTTGAAAAATCTAAAGACGTTTGCAAACCTCCCCTACCTATTCTTGACTGCCTAAAGTAACATGAAAGATCAAGTACATGTGTAGATCTGGGAGAATTTCTCCACAGATTTCTATTCAACATAAATGTAGCAAGAATTGTTTTGATTTCACATTGTCTTGTAATGTAACATTATCTCAGCTATACTTGGAGATCAGCACAAAACACAGAAAAATGGATGTGGACCTGAACTTTGGCAAAGGCTGAGAGAACTGGGTTAATTGTGCGTGCAGACGAAGGCCAGTCTTGAATCTCAGATCTAGATCTGGAGCAAAACAGTCAAAGTGGTTTTGAATTGGAAATTTTGCCTAGGTACTTGTTAAAATATGAAGTCCAGAATGCCAATGGCTGATCTGTGTGCAGTTTCTGGTGTCCTGTGGGGATGAAGGATAACCCTGCGATACCTGAAGTGTACAATGACCCTCTCACCTATGACTCATAGGACATCTTATGTGAACTTCAAATTTGCTGGTGTGGAAACTTTCTGTCTTTACCAGACCAGAATTACTCTTCTGTATAGCTACTCTCACACGTCAGGAGATGGAATTGGTACCAACAGAGCTGAGTCAAGCATCTAAACTTCTCCTGTTTTTTCATGAACAGGGTCTTCCTTCTGGAATTGGACACCCATAATATCAGCATTATTCTGGAATGGAATGTGAATTCAGGGAAAGATTTTTTTCAAAGCACCTAAATAACGTAGAGGAGCACAAGCTTGTTACTTGTACTTCTTAATTTCCTAGGTGGTTTTGAAATGTCTCTCCTTAGTTGATTCTTTCTTTCCTTACAAAGAATGTTCTATTTCTGTAGTATATTCATACTGCACAATGAATGGCTCTGTTTTATGCATGCTGTACTGAAACCAATAGTTTTCAATTTGTTTACTTTACTCAGAGGCTATGATGGACAAGATGCTCAACAACTCAGTGACTGAGCAGATTGACCTATTGTCACAGCTCATGGTAAATATCTCCTCCTGTGTGTTATTGGATCGCTTCCAGCCTTTAGAGTCTGTTGAGGAATTGGAGGCGAAGGCTCATGAGCTCATGCAACAAAACAATTTCTTGGCTAGTAAGTACCTCATTTAACATACATATTGACAAGAAACCTCAGACTTCATGAACCTGTTGTGTCCCATATTTTCATGTAAGAGGGTGCTATAGTGCTTTGGCAGCTAAGAATACATGGCTTAAAATATAAATATGGTATAATCACAAGCCTGGTACAAATACACCTCTGAATCTTGAATAAACCTCTGAATAAACATTGTAATGAAAGCTAATGATGTTGCTATTGTAACTGTGGAATCATTAGTAAATGAATCCCCAGAGTCATGTATACCTAATAAACATTATACTTGGAACAACAAATATGTAATATACAGCTAGAATGGAATGAGGTGAAAGGATGCCAAGAGCTCTAACCCTCCCAAACCAGCCAAATGAAGATAGTAGCTATTCTTTTAAGACAAGGTCATCCAGGTTTTCACCTTTTTGGCTGCCTATAAATGTACTGGTTCACGTTCTAATGAGATTAATAAAGTCTGCTCCACGTTCTAATTAGAATGCTCCAGCATGGCCCCACTGTCATGTGTATAAGTCCCTGCATGTTTAAAATGGCCACTGGGGCGCTTTATGTAAACCTTGTTGAATGGTGTTCAAATAAAGCATCCCACGGCCATTTTTAAACCCACAGGGGCTGAATACACATGATATTGAGGCATTTTAATTAGAGTGGCTCTCCAGGAACTGCTGGAATTAAAATGCAACTGCCCCAAGAATGGCAGCACTTTTTAATTTTTAATTTCTGTCTCTTTTGGATTTGCAAAATAAAATAAAAATGAATCTTTCTAGTAGTCATGTTTGTTAAAGAAGGTAACTTTTGAATTGGATCATTTACTCAGAGTAAGTTTAGTGTGTCTTGGCTTGATGGCTTGTGGGGTTTTTTTTTCTTTTTTTTGGTCATTAGGATGACTGTCTCTATACCTCTTTCTTGAAAATCCTCCTTGCTGCTGGAGAGCTATCTAGTGTGCTAAGGAGTGATTTTTTTTCTTTCTTTCTTTTATTTATTTTTCTATTTAAGAAGTTTCCTATCCCTGCCTGAGTTGCATGGGCATATGTTGCTCTTGCTAAACAGAAAGGTGAGGTCCTGGCTTTGTTGATGCCAAAAGAGCCTTCCCACAGATTTCACTGGGGCTAGGATTTCATCCATAGTTTATTTTATCATTTCTGGCTCCCAGTAAATTCTGTGCTGAAGTCTCAAGGGCTTAGGATATACTTATGCAACATGATTACTATAGACTATAAACTTTGGATTTTACTTAATAGGGAGCAGATATGCAGCCAGTTCTGCCAAACTAGCTGCTTGCAGTAGGCACAAATAAAGTGCCTGGCCACTAAGGCTTTAAATAATGTCTCATTTGATGTGGGCCTAATTGCCCTGGTGTTTGACCTGGAAAAAAACAAGCTTGGCACAGTCATTTACATTGGTTGCCCTTCCAAGCTGAATTGCTTCTCCTCAGTGAGAGCACACAACCTAGCTGTTCTGTCCTTGGGATTACCTGCAATAAACTTAGATTCATAGAACCACATCTCATGAAAAAGTGTTAGCACATCTTATCCCACATACTTCAAAAGGACTTGAAACAGGACAGTGGACTTTTACATCTGTAGGATCCCAGGACAGAAGGCTTTCTTCTGGGACAGTTGAGATGTCTATTCATAGCTGAGGAGGAAGGAGATACTGGTTTGTATTGAGCAAGTAGCTACTGTAGGATAAATTGACTAGGGAGAGGATACATGGCCATTTTCCAAGGGAACAGAGTGCCTTACACCTGTATGAGGCTGTGTGTCCACTCCACTTTTCACTTTTTCCCTGGAGTGAAGTCAAATTACAGTGAAGTAAATGTGCTGTATGTCTGTACCCTAAAGGTGATCTTTAAGGGAAATTGGGTCCAATAGATGTAGGAATTAATATCAGTCAAAATCTGGGGCAGTGCAAAACATCAGACCAGTACTTTGGAGATTTTATTGCCTGTTCTGTCACAGATATATTTAATGACCTTGCTCTGACATGCTCAGAAACAGATTTTCATCTTCTGCTCAGAAGTAGAGGGAGGTAGGAGCCACAGAGGAGAGAGGCAAAGTATTTTTGCACCCTTCCTGCAACACATGTTTGTCAGGTCCTGACCCAAAGGAAGCTAATTTTGACTACTCACATATTAGCTTTATCTTGCTTCTTCTCCTGTACCAGAGGCTCCATGCAAGCTAGTATCTTGCCTGCCTTCAAGAAAATATGTTCAAAGCTTTCTGAAAACGTGAAGATGATTGTCTTCCTTTTATGAGGATAATCTGTGCAGTACTTCTCTGTTACATCATCTGATCTAGGCACGTCTTCCTTTTTAGTGAAGGATGTACAACTGAAATTTGGCTTTCTTTATCTAATCTTGGAAAAATATTTGGCATCCTCTAAATCCTCTTGGGTGGCAGAGGATATTAAATTCTCCCCTAAATAGGAAATTGTATTTGTTTTTTAACCTTTGGCCAACTTAAAAAATATGAACAGGAGAGACTACAATGTCCTAAGAATATTTCTTTCCTCAGAAACGAAGATGATCTGGGTTCCTTTCAATGCACAGCCCTTTATAATAAAAATGAAGAGAGCTTTGCTTTTCAAACAAGAATGGCAAACATGTTTCTACCATTTATCCAGAAGGATAATGTCAGAGGAATAGGGGCAGGAGAAGATTTAGTCTCCTGTTCCTGTACTTAACTTCATCTCTCATGATTCAGGAATAGGATTGACCCACTCTCCCTTAAGTTAAGATAAAAGTAAAAAAAACCATTTATTCTGCCATGCTAGTGCTGTATAGGAGCAGTGACTCCATCCACTTGATGGAAGAATAAAGGTCTGCCTTAGAGGTACAGTCTTCTGATCCCAATTCAAGGGAGTATAATTTTTAGGTGGCCAAATGTTTTTGGAACTTTGCTATGTTTAGGATCATAAGGGCTGCCTATACATATGGTTGAGGGGGGTGTTTTAATTAGAGCAGTTCCTGGACATATGCTGAATTAAAACATCACAGCGTCATGTGTATTAACCCCTCATGTGTTTAAAAATGGCTGCGGGATGCTGTAAGTAAAGCTCATTCAATGTGACCCACGGCCAGTTTGAAATGTGGTGGGGGGACTTAATACACTTTACATTGCAGGGATGCTAGAGTGTTCTAATTAGAATGCATTGGCGCACGTGTATAGGCAGCCTAAGTTTTCTTGCAGCAACTACAGAAATTTTAGATAAAAGTAGAGGAAGTGTGGAGAAGAAATTTCAAAGGTCAAAATACAGATGGTGCTTTACTCTAGATTTCTCTTTGGGCTAAAGAAAAAAATGCCATTTTGAGGCAGTTTCAAATCTTAGAAGTGGAAGAAAAAGAATGAGCTCTTTCATTGTATTTATGTTTAATATTCCAAAACATCACTTAATAATTTTCAAGAAAAGAAATTCACTGGGTGATTAATAGAGACTTGAAGGAGTTCCTATTTCAAGGTTTGAATCCCACTGTGTTGAATCATAGGGTTGCAGTAGAAGTGGCTTAAAATGCAGTGCTACTCTTTGGATAAACTATGCATCCATATTCTTTACAGGTAGACAGTAACTTTTTATAAATGGGTAGGTGTCATGAAATGATTTGATTGGCTATTTATTGCCTTCATAAATAAGATAGAAAGTTGGGGACAGACCTGAGACTAGAATTCGTACTGCAGAGTGCACAAAATACAGGACTCTGAGACTGTCTCATTTAAATCTGTGAAATACCTTACTGTATTTTTCTTTCTTGTAACAGGCATCATATTCCATACATCAGACAACAAGGCGCACACACAAGATTCTATTGATTACCTTCCTCCACACATTTCATATACAGTCCGGACCAGTGTTCTGTTCAGCATGAGAACAGATTTGATTAAAAACCCAATGTGGAAATTCCACCCGCAGAACCTGCCAGCTGATGGATTCAAATACAACCACATCTTCATTCCACTGCAAGACATGATTGAAAGTGCAATTGTTTCAGTGCATGCTGGAACTGATACTTCAGAGCCAGAAATACAAGTGCAAGCTATGCCGTATCCATGCCACACAAGTGACCTGTAAGTAAATTTGCTCATTTGAACTTTAAGTGGCATTAGTTTAGCTGTGATCTGGCTGAACTGTCCAAAGAAATTCCCTGGAAACCTGTTGGATCTCTCTACCTGGTGGTTGCCTCAATAAGGCATTGAACCAGCATGATTGGTTCTAGTGGATCTCACTTTGTGATTCCCAGAAGAGAACATTTGGGAGGGAACAGGTACAGCAACAACTCACTGTGACATTTTAACCTGGGCAGATGGCCTTGTAAGAGCTGTTATCAGCTAGTGTTCAAAATGCCAATAGGGCTGGGAACTGGTTTAGAACCAACTCGATTAGTAGGTGTGTGTGAAGTGGGTCGTATTTGATTTGGATTTTACCTGAATCGGGGACAGTGATTCACTTTGTTGATTCGGATCACTGTCCCTGATTCGATTTGGCTGAATCCAAATCTGAAGATTCGATGCTGAATCGGAGAATCAGCAATTCAGACATAGACAGCTTTAAAAGTTTTTTTTGTTGTTGTTTTTTTTTTTTAACATATCTCGAGGTACCAGCATGGCTTGTGAATGCTGCAATGCTGGGGCACATGGAGTGTCCCACAGGAGTGCAGTGGGGGTGGTCTTCCACGTGCTTGGGGGCAAACCCAGAAGTGGACTGGAAGTATTCCAGTCTACTTCTGGGTCTGCTGCCCCCCCCAACTCAGCAATTGGCCACAGGGGGACCCCAGATGCCCCCCCAGACTCAGGAGGCATCAGTCGCTGAGCCAGGGAGAGGTGCTGGGGGGCCCCCCAGCACCTCTCCCTGATGGACACAGAAGTGGACCGGAAGTGCTTTTGGTCCAATTTCGGGTCTGCTGCTGAGCGTGCTGGGGAGCTCCCTGAGCTCCTTTGGGACGCTCCATCCATCCCACCATTGCAGCATTCATGAGCTGCTTGCTACCTAGAGGTATGTAGAAAAAACATTTAAAGCTGTGTCTATGTCTGAATCTCTGAATATTTCCAAATCTCTCCAGATCGATTCAGAGGGTTCCAAGTTGATTTGGAGAGATTGAAAGGTCCTCTGATTCGATTCAGAGATTTGGCCACTGAATTGGGCTGAATCTCCGCCAAACAGAATCAGGGACCAAAGCTTTGCACAGCCCTAATGATTAGGCAGAAAAAAAAATCTGTCTCCTTTGTAGCTCCTATCTCCCTCTACTTCTGAGCAGCAGATGAAAATCTGTTTCTGAGCATGAGGTGTATAGCACCCTGATGAGGCAGATGTAGTTAGCTTTGTTAGTCTGAAATCTGACTATGGCTCTTCAATGTACAGGACTTGCAGTGTACACATGTTTAGTTCTTGGCAATCTCAGAATGGGTGTGAAAGTAGAAACATTTCATGTAAAGGTCTTGATTAGGCTCCAGCCCTTGGGCAAAGTCCAGGTGGGGTCCTACAACTGTGCCATGTAAGGCTCAGGATTGTGGTGTGTTGTTTTTGTCATGGAAGTATTCCCTTAGTTGTAGCTGATGGAAAAAGCCGAAAGGTCTTCATAAAGCTGCACCTTATTGAACTGTGTAGGAGAGCAGAAGGAAAGATGATGGGATAACCCAGAGCACATAGGGGGACTGAGTGTGTGGCTGGATAGGTTGATGATATTGATGTGGACTGTAGTATTGTTTTTGAAGAGTAAGTATGGAAGATTGTGCTTCTGCCATCTTCTTTAACAAGTTAGAAGTGTTTGTCGTAGGCTTCCTGGATGGATGCAGGGATGTCCCCCTGGAAAATGTCTGTTATATCTGGGTGGCTCTATGGTCTGCTTGTTAGTTCTGTGAGTCTGGTGCTAGTTTATTCCTGTTTGCTGTAAGGGACCCTGATGAGGCAGTTTCTCCTTTTCTTTGAGAGAATAAAGTACAGCTTTTCAGAATAGGCTGTGTGGTATGTAAAACAATGTGGCCTGGTAACCTGGAGTCTCTTGGGCCCCTGCTAGACATTCAGGCAAGTTAGGATCACTTGTGTATGGGAGGAGGCATGATTGTGGGATGCAGATCCTATCATGGCTTATTTTCATCCTGGGTTCTCTCTGCACTGACAAGTAACAAGCCTCTGTGGCTGTGAGACGGCAGCTGACGGGACTTGCAGCTGCTACAGCACCCCATGTACTCCGGTGGCTGGGAGTCCCATAGGTGACAGAGCTTGCAATTGCAGGAGTGCCCTATGCATTGCTGCATCTGTGAGCCCTGTCAGCTGAGGGACTTCCAACCGTGCCAGCACATGGAGTGCTCCTGTGGTTATGAGCCCCATTAACTGCAGGACTTGCATCTATGGCAGTGCATGGTATACCCCCACAGCTGGGAGCCTTGTCTGCTGTTGGGGAGCCCAACCACAGGGGAGCACATGGTCACATGTTCACTTAATGCTGTGATAACAATGAGCCACAAAGTTATTACATGTTTTTTGTGGAATAACTGTGTGGCTTATTCCTTGTTTTGTCATGCTATTAACTGATCAAATGTATAGCTGTGTTACAACTGGTTGGTTCATCTGACTGGTATCTGATTAGAAAGAAGACATTTGAGATATCTGAGCAAGTTTCTTGAGCAGATTGATTGCAATCATTTTCATTCAGCTGGGCATGGTGCCTTCCAGGAGCACAGAGGGGGTTAGCTGTGTTAGTCTGAAGTCAGACAGAAGTGAGGGTAGGGTGGCACCGTAAAATAACTGGTTCAGAGAGGCATGAGCTTTTGTAGGCAACAACCTATTTCATCAGGTGTTATGAATGGACTGTCAGAAAAAAATAATTGTATATAGAGGGAAAGGGATTGGAGGGAGGAGACACTATGGGCATGTGATGATTCAGTATGTGGTTTATATATGCAGAAGATAAGTGTCACTAAAACTAAAAGATGAGAATGCAGATAGTGAACATTAAGGTGAGGAATACTTCCTACTAGAGCAATGCTGCAAAGCAGATATTATGTCAAGCACTTTCAGTATTTTCATTTGGAAATAGTACATTGAAATATACTTCAGTAATTATATTTCACTGTAAATAGAGCCTCATTTAAAAGAGGCAATATAAAGGTTCTACTGTTACTGTTAAATTATAGTACATATATTTACCTTGTAGCAGCAAAAAGTATTTCTAGACCTGAGTTAAAGTGAATGTTTGACACATGCCACGCATTATTCTTTTATGTATATGTTCTGAATAACACTGTCTGGATATTAACATCTATCTAATAGTCTTTCATTTTTTAGGGGTTGACAGATATATTTGTGATTTCAGATTCTTGAACAACATAGGGTTTTTTTTCCCACTCATAATGATGCTAACATGGATGGTATCTGTTGCTGGCATGGTCCGGAAACTGGTTTATGAGAGAGAAATTTGTCTTGAAGAGGTAAGAATTAGTGGACCTAGTGTAAAATGAATTTGCCAGTGGTGTGCCTAAAATACTACAAACCACAGCGACAACAAAGATCTTTGAGAGATGTCTTTGTGTACTTATAAAACTGCTCTATTTTTCATTTTCTTCTTTTGAGCTGTGAGCCTGAGTTCTACCTGCCAGCTCAGAATCACAGGGATATTGTTTTGAATTTGAGCTTCACATTGCAGTGTGGAGATTTATATCTGAAACAGAGGAGAGCAACAATTGAAAACACTGTAAAATATAAAGTTGAGACCCTTTCTTTAAAACCAGTCTTAACAACAGAGATCCCGATCTTCCTAGGTGCTGCGTGCCTTCAGCTGATGGTATGTTTATCCATTCTCAAACAGTAACTACGTACTAGCAATCAGCATGACCTTTCTTTGGAGTAGGAGAATAAAAAAAACAAGACAGTCTACTTGAGAAAATATGCATGCATTTACAGTGTGATAGTTTTCACTGAACTGAATAAAAATGGCTCTGAACAGTATTCTTCAGTTTTACAGGAGAAGTGCACAGAGGGAAAACATGTTATTTCATTGAAGGTAGCATCTATGGGAGTTCACACCCTGTCTTTAGCATCTTGCAGAACTGGGACCTTATGTAGATGCTGTGTAGACATAGTACCATTTCTGTCCCACAGATCCAAGCGCTGTTCTTCATTCTGCTGCAGACTTACTGTTGAACTTTGGCAAATTATCTAAACTTTTTAGACTGTTTTTTCCTCTTTTCTAAAAGAGGGCTCATTTATTTTACAGGGGTGTTTTAAATATTAATTCACTATGTCTGCAAAATGCCTTTTACTCCTTGGTTGAAACAATATAAAAATACTATTTTATTTCAGCTAGTGCTTTTTAAAGTGGTGGTCTTGGAGGTATGTGGTGTCATTAATATCTGTTTTCATGAGGATTCCTATGCAGAAGCTGAGAATGGAAGAATTTAATCCATATTCTACTGCAAATTCTACAAGAAGGAAAATTGCAAATGTTACCATGTTTGTTAAAATGGCACATTTTCTTTTCAGAAAGTTTAGTAAGAAAAACAAAAATTGAAGGATAGGAGTGTTTCATATTTGCACAATATTATAATTTTTTTGCAGGGCTCTTAGTTTTTGTCATTCTGATAATAGTTCACAGGTTTTCATTATTATGGTTATATTATGCTATCTTTTATTACTGTTGTTTTTTTCATGCTGAAGATGCACAGAGTAGTTTTAAGCAGAAAAAGGGGAGATTCCCACTTCAGGGGCTGTTACAATTTAAGAGTCTGATGCTTGCAAATAAACGTTATGCCCATGAACATGAGTAGCCCTTTAGGCTCATTGGTATTCCTTCTGCTCATCTGCATTACGCTCAAAAGCAAATGTCATCAGGAGAGAGCCATAACTTAAAAAAAAAGCAACAGAATGTTTTACCGGGTCTCACTCTTATCCCTTATACTGTTTTCTTTGGGGAGAATGCTAGCAATGTCTTATAGCTCTTACATTTTAAGAGCTATATATTAACTGTAGGATATTTCTTTGGTTTTGCAGTATATGAAGACAATGGGTGTGCACCCATCCATTCAGTTCCTAGCCTGGTTTCTGGAGAATATAGCTGTACTTGCTATAAGCAGCTGCACTCTGGTCGTCATTTTAAAAGTGAGCGGCATCTTTGCTTACAGCGACAGTTTCCTCATCTTCCTCTTCTTCCTTGATTTTGGAGTTGCAGTTGTTATGCTAAGCTACCTGATGGGCACATTTTTTAGCAGTGCCAATACAGCAGCCCTCAGTGCCAGCCTTGTGTATATGATAAGTTTTTTACCCTACATAGTTTTGTTGGTTTTGCAGAACCAACTGAGTTTTGCCAACCAGACCATTGCTGTAAGTACTTTTTTCTTTCTTTCTTTCTCTTTTAAAGTTGTTTTATTCATTTTCATCATTTATGACCATTATAAAACAAACAAACAAAAAAAACCCTTCCTTACTTTGTCTGTAGATTCTCATTTGGGCTTATATCTCACTGAAACTGCATAGCTTTCCTTGATGGGAAACTAGACAAGAAATACTGCTCTGAATGCAACAGAAGAGAATCAGAAAATGAATGTTCAAGGCAATTGACAGAACCTAATAGAGAGCATAAGGCTCTATATTCCTAGTGCTGCATGCATGATGGAAAAAGATACATTCTTAAATACATGGTTTTTTTTTTTACACACAAGGATACCATGAAAAATTAATGCCATCCACAAAAGGGATGGCACTGCATCTGAGGAAAAATTACTACTTTACAGGAAAACTAGTATACAAACTTAGTGAAAGATAGAAAGCACTCCTGTTTAAAATATAACTACAGAAAACAAGTATAAGAATACATGCTGCACTTTCTGTGTCTTTTACAGATATTGCTTGTGCTGTAGAAATGTGTAAGATGTTCTCTTAAATTTTGTTAAAAATATAGTGGAATAATTGTACGTTAGCAGACAGGATAATAGTAGGAGTCAGGAAATTATCCACTAACTAGTTACCATATTATCTGTTTGGAGTTTTGCTATATTCTGCTGAGCAGTTTTGTTATACATGGTTTTTGTTATGGACTGAGCTATGGTGATGGTGGTTACTAGGGCTGTGCAAAGCTTCGAGTGCTGATTTGATTCAGAGGAGATTTGGCCTGAATCAGCGGCCAAATCTCTGAATCTGAATTGAATCAGGAGACCAACAAAAAGATCTGAATCAATTTGGAGAAGATTCAGAAAGCTTCAGAGATTTGGGCAGTCCCTGCTCACTGCCGCAGGGAGCTGGACACAGACTCCATGCTGGTAAGTAGGGAGTGGGGAGGGCATAGGAGGAGGGGGGAGGGGACCATGGGGGGGACCCCTGCCAGGCCCTATCCCCTGCCTGCTCCCCCAGCTCCCCTGAGTGCCCCCCACCCCCCTCCCCCTTTCCAGGACCTGGCGTCCCAGCTCTTTAAAAAAAAAAAAAAAAGCCCCACACTCACTGGCTGATGCCAGGCTGGGTTGGGGTGGGGGGTGATCCCTGCTGCCCCGCACTGCCCTGTGCTGTGTTGGGGGCTCTGCCATGAGCCCCGATCCTCTGACCATTCATTCACTGCAGTGGCCTCAGGACTTCTTGGGGCTTGTGGCAGAGCCCTCCCACACAGTGCAGGGCAGTGGGGGGCAGCAGGGATTGCCCTCCTGCCTGGCAACAGGGCTTTAAAAAAAAAAAAAGTGCCGGGATGCTGGGGCTGGGCAGGTAGCCATTGACAGGGCTGGGAGAGCAGGCGGGGATGGGGCCTGTTTGATTTGGAGATTTGGTCAATTCAGTGGTGGTCGAATCTATGAATCAGATTCGGTCAAATCAATTTGGGACAGTGATTCGAATCACCAAATCAAATCGCTGTCCTCCAAATCAACCGAATACGAAGTGAATACTAGCTGCTTCGCACATGCCTAGTGGTTACTCTCCTAAAATTTCTGTTTTAAGAATCAGTCTATTTGCTCAGAAAGTATTTTGTGAATCAGTATCACATTTACATTCAGTTGTCTGGCTTCCTCCTAATGTATTTATTTAATGTAAAAGACTACCTCTACTTCAGAAGACTCTGCTCGTGCATTGATACATCGTCTTCTATAAAGGACAAAATAAACCCCAGAGAGAACTTACTTAATACTGAACTTGAAAGCCCCCTAGTTTGAAAGTATTCTTAGAAGACCACATAAAACCTGTGTAAAGACTTCAGGATTAGACCCAGGTAGGAGCCTGTGATACTTCTGTTGAGGCCCAGAAGGATTATGAAGGTTCTGTACTTTGCATTAATAACAGCATGAGTTTAGGCCATTAAATTTCTTAAGTATTAATGTAAGGATAGAAACAGAAATAGTTTAGGCAAACAATTCTCTTTTTGATCTATATTTCAGATATAATCTCAATGACTTTTAGAAGTCATTTGTATTTGAATTTGTATTTAATGTTTTGCACACCATTAACTTCCTGTTAATGCTGTGACAACAAATTAAATATTTTAAATACAACCAGAGAAACAATTTAAATCATGCCATGATTACAGAGAAACAAACAGTATAACCTAGATGTCCAACTTACTGCTCTTTGATTCTAGGGTAGGTGTATACACACATATATTAGATAAAAGTAAGCAAAAGCAAGGTAACTTTATGTTCATAAACAATAAATGTGGTTCTTGTTCCACACACAGCAGTTGCCTGTGCCACTTGTGGCATGTGTGCCATAGGTTGGCCACTCCTGGCATAATGATAGGCCACTGCAAGACTGGGGTCTAAACAGGTAAAAGGGCTGCTTATTTTTGGGGAGTGGGACAGTTGCCCTTACTTTTCATATTAGGCACCTGAGAGGATTTGTTCCCAGGGTATCAAATGATGCAGAAACATGAGGGGATACCTGTATGGCTTCCCAGGTATTTGAGAGAGCACTGAGAAGCATACTGGCTTTCCCCATCCCCACCCAACCCCCCCACAACACTTCTTGCTCCTGGTTTTCATGAACCAAACCTGGAAATGGGGCAGTAAAGCCTCTGTGACAGTGCTCTCAAACTCTGTTTCTGGTATGCTTGGGGGCAGTGGCAGAGGCTTGTCCCCAAGAGTGCTTCATTGCCTTTTTCCCAGATCTAGGGTCATGAATAACTATGGCTTGGTGGGGCAATGTACTGGAAGGGCTCTATATACAGCCACATAGGACATCACTATCTTAAAATACATAAGACCTTGGTTATGAGTTCACATTCAGACGACAGAACTTTCCCCATACCACGATGCCTTATATTTTATTATATATAGTAATGATTTGGTTTCCTCTATTAGCCTTCAGATTCTGGCCAGCGATTTTTTCCATTTACCATCAGTCATCTATCCTTATTACATTACATCCCTGAACTTGGTCATTTTCCATTTTGTGCTTTTCTGATGCGGTATGCCCCATCTATATTGCTCCATTGGAAATTAAATGTTATTTCCTTGCAGTAGAATACCTTCCCAGTGTACAGTACACAATGTATGTTCCATCAACCTCCGCCTCTTGTGAGTTCTGGGTCATTCACTTACTATAGAAAATAAATTGCTTTATACATACTTCCACTGTTATGCATTATATATTTTCAATATGTGGTGGATTTATGATGCTCCATAAATTGTGGTAAGGTTAAATAATGCCTTCAAATATTAATAACTAAGTCAGTAAAGCTCTCTAACTTTGAGAGTGTACTTCTGCAAAATGCAGATAAATATTGTTCAAGAAGTAAAAAGAAAGGCTGGATCATTAACTTATGTGGAACTGAAAGGTCCATTGTTTCTTCATTTGGACTTAGTTCAGCTTCTTCACGAAGTTTTATACATGTTCATTTCCTGCTTCTTTTGTACTGTTGCAGTGCCTTTTGTCTACAACTGCCTTTGGACAAGGGGTGTTTTTCATTACATTCTTTGAAGGCCAAGAAATAGGTAAGTTCTCCTGTTAGCTAGAAGCTTTTATAATTATGGTTTATGGAGAGCTAAATGTGAACCTGTGCCTTTTGCTTTGTGCTAAAGAGCATCAGATTGCCAGTGAGCAGCTGAACTCAGAATATAAGGTGTGAAGCCCCATAATGCCCCTACATTCTTTCCCCTCTCCCCTCTTAAAGCTGCTCTAAATTGTGGAAGGCTACAATGGCTGAAAGGGGCTGATAATGCAGGGTGCAGGGAAAACCCTATCCACACTCCCAACATTGCAGATATTTTTCAGCAACTGGAAGATAACTGAAGTATTTAATTCGTTCTCAAAAATTGTTAGGTAGCACTATACTACTGCCATGCTATCTTCACTCAGTAGCAGTACTGTGAAGATAGATAGAAGATAGAAGGCTCGATTTAGGCAATTTATATTGGTTCTGTAATTCAAATATGTTCACATTGTAGGAAAACATTGTATACTTGTTTTGTTAAGAAATTCACAATGTGGACTTTCAGAGGTGGCTCAATTATTAAAGCTGTACTTTCGGTCTTGTATTGTGTCATCTTGTTAGCAGCAGCGCTTGGGGTTCAACCTGTTAAAAATACTTGCATTTGAGAAATTATGATGAGGCATATTGGTGCAAAATCTGTTAGGAAGATTACATTGTGCCTGATCCAAAGTCCAGGGATCTCAGTGGTCAAGGGCTAAATACAGACAGTCAAACAGCTCAAGCCTGAATTGATTCAGTTTTTGCAGGTTAGTCTAAGCTGCAGAGATTAAACTGAGAAACAACTAGACAGACATTCATTTTTGATTCAGAAAATGCAGCCACATGCCTGCCGGATCTCAGGCACTAGAGCACGGCTCTCTGGCACGCAGCCAGCATGGGCTGTGTGTTTACTTCCTCTTCTTGCTGCCTCTGAGGTCTCTGGGATTTGCAGTCCAGAATCACAGAAGTAGGACCCTGCAGGGTTGCTCATTACTTCCTCTTCCTGCTTCCAGGTGGCTCTGGCATTTGTAGTCCACAGTTGCAGCCAGCAGTAAATTTTTATTGTGGCAAGGCAGCTCTGTACTCAGGGGTTGGGAAGTTTAACCCCCCTCCCTATTCCCAGACACCAGCCAGAGTTTGCCCGGGGGGGGGGGGGGGGGGGGGGGGGGGGGGGGGGGGGAAGGATGGGTCCCCCCCCCCCTTTTTTTTTTTAATCCTCATGATTATAGCCTGAGTAGGGATTTTTTTTAACTCTGTAATTGATCCAAGGTTCAGTCTTCTCTTTCTTCTGCCATAAGTGGCAAAACTCTCCTAGTAACAAAGTGGAATTATCTCAAGCATAGCTGCTGCTTGCAGGGGTTGTAATTAAGTGGAAGCTAAGAAGTATGGTGGATCTGGTTGAAAAATCCCTGCTGGTGTGAGGAAAAATGGCTTTTGGGGGGCCAAAATTGGTATTTCTGGGGAAACCTTCCCCAAATTTCTGGTTTTCTCAAGTTATGAAAAATATTCCTCATAGGATTTCCTGAGCTGCTCTGTTGTACACTGTTGCCACATTCTGAGAAATTATGTGGAAAAATGCAGTGACTTGTTTGAACTTTGTAATTTGAGCCATAAAGTAGCTCTATCAAATCTAAATCCTAATTACTTCTATTGATTCATATCTTATTTCCTTTTCTCCTACTTACTTTGACTTACTATAAGACTTTTGGAAATGATTAGTGTTGGGAGCCCCAGTAATGGATTGGCACCTCCAGGCACTGCTGTCATATAAATGATAAACAACAATATGATCCATTTAGTTATGATATGGGGGTTTCAGCTAAATAAATCTGCTCTAGGTCTTTTATAAGCTTATTTCATTGTGGATATCAACATTCTGTCCTAAAGCCTGATTTATTGCATGCACGTCCAAACAACTGTGTGCACACACACGCCTGATTTATTGTGCGTGTGAGCGTGTGCACACACAAACATGCACACACTTGATTTCTTGCATGCGTATGCACACATGTATGCACACATGCCTGATTTTTTTTGAACACACGTACATACACATGCATACACACATAGCTTTTTATATTTTATTTGAAATTCTGGGGACTTTTTTTGTTGCCAAAACAGTCAAGTAAAAAAAAAAAGCAACTTAAAACTGAAAAGAAAAAAACCCCCTGCCACTCTGAATTCTCTTACATTTTCTCAGCAGTAATATTACCTGCTGTTCCAAAGAGAGACCAAGAGGTCTAACAGTTTATTCTTTTAAAATTACAGTTATTAACTACGTTGTTTTTGTCTGTCAGTGCTTTAGTATATTAAGTGTTTCGTCTTGGCCTATTAATGGCCCACCTACCTGTTGTGCTTTACAGATTTAATTCTGATCTTTTTTTCTGTTTCTAGGAATTCAGTGGAGCAACATGTACCAGACCTTGCCACAAGGAGGATCTATTACTTTTGGATGGGCATGCTGGATGATTTTCTTTGACTCAATTATGTGTTTTATAGCTGGCTGGTATTTCAGCAACACAATTCCTGGTAAGATCAATGAGGGCTTTTTTTTTTTAATCACCACCCACTTAAATATTCTTTTTCAACATCTGTAGATTTAATAATTTAATTAAATGAATTGATTCCCTCCTCCCATTTTAAATACAATTAGAAAAATCTTCAGTACTCAGAGTCAGAGCCTTGACATGACAAATTCATGACTAATACATAACAGATATTTCATATATATCTAGGGCAGTAAACAGTGTTGACAGATGGGCTGGAATTCGTAATGTGGTATCACATCTTGCTTTCTATAAAGAGTGCAAATAGTTGGGTAAGGACTTCTGGGGCTGATTTGACACTTGATAATAACAGAGTCCAATCTAGTAGCAAAATCCTATTGGAGTTAAAAGGCCATACCTTAAGACTTATTTAGAGAGAATCTCCACTTATTTAAAAAAAAGGTTGCTTTTCAAACCATTAAAGGACAGTATTTAAATAGCTTGTTTTTGTTTTATTTCTTGTTACCCTTCCCTCCCCCCGCTTCCCCATCCCAAGTATGTCTGTGGGCCACAGTTGCACAATTGAGAGTAGCTAAACCCCAAATTTATTCTCAGAAAATGTTGGGATGTTTAATTTTTCAAAATTTCTCCACACATTTATGAGTGATCCTGACTTGGTGGTTGAGGCATGTGGAATGATTTCTAATTTGCCTTTCTGAGCATCTGGGATTTACACTCACTCACATCTGTATATCACATATTTTGCTCTGCTGATTTTATATTTATTTCAAAAAAAAAAAAAAAAAATAGAAGCCCGAGATGGAAAAGTAGGTGTGCCAACGTAAGTAACAGAATCTTAAGCAAAAGCCTTTAACTTATAATGAAGGATGTTGCTGCCATTCAATGCCATGTACTATTGCTCCACAGTCTTAGACGTGAACAATATACATAATGCAAATGTTATATGAAGCACTGAAAGGTCAACAAATGTCAAACATGAGTTGACTTCTTTCTGCTACAATACATGAGTCCCATGCTGGCAGTTGACGACAATCTGTTGAAAAATGAACAAAGAATCCTGAGTATTTCTTCTGCGTAGCGAGATGATTCTTTGGAGGATCATTAGCAGTTGAGCATATCCTATGTCAATTCCCCTACCAGCAGGATGGGAGGCGAAGCCAGGTGGTAGAGCAGGGTGTTATGCCTTGGCATTGGGTTGTTCCTCTGAAGCACACTGGCAGGAAACTTCACACTCTGAGACTCCATTGTTTTTTTTGCCAGGGAATGACCCCACAGCTAAATGTCCCCAGTGTCAGAGATTAATGGTACTTTTTACTCCAGTGTACCAAACCTGGCAGACCTCAATATCTTGGACAAAACTGGTAATTAATTATAGCTGGATTCTCCCACTAATGTCTGAATCACTTTCAGAATGCCTTCTCCACACACACACAATACAATGATGACATTTCTTTTGATATTAGTGATAGCCAGGTTGTCCCCAAAGCTTGAAAATGAGGTCAGACATTTTGAAAAATGCATGTGATAAAAATCCAAGTGATACAATAATATAGATAATATATTGTATGTTTCTCCTGCCTCTCCCCCAATTCCTTCAAAAAAAGGGATAAAAAATATTGAAGCTGAAAAAGTCATAAATTTTTCAAAGATTTGTTTCAATTGTTTTTCTTATATTTAACACTGAGGTCGATATGGATTAAGGGAGCCATGGTACTTTCCCTTAACTGTCTCCTATTGGAAGAACTTCTGCAGTACAGACAGGAGAAACAAACCTCTAACTTACGGTAAGTTGGGTTTTTTGTTTTTTTTTTTTCAATGAAAATTTCCAAGGAAGAGGTTTGTGATAGGATGGGACACTTTATAAGCACTACTTTCATTTTCTGCTTCTCTCCAATCAATCATTTTTCATGGTTGGCTAAGCCCAAATCCAGATCTCATTCCTTACGCTTCCTAAAAAATTGCCTTATTTTTTTTCCAGTATACAATATGTAAAATATTTCACGGAGTTACCTACTGTGATGTCAGAGTGGGTGAAGTTTAACTAGAACCCCTTGCTATGGACAAGTAGTTTAAATGTGCACTTGACAATATAGAATTTTGTCGGCCATTTTGCTGCCAATCCATCTACCTTTGTTAGTCTCCCTGAAGTTTCTCAGTCTACTCTATAGTGTTTACTGCATAGTCTGAACAATTTTATGCTCATTAAAGCATATGGTCAAACTCAGTTTGTCTGCACTTTGATTTCATCACAAAAAGCCTGATGTTATCTGCATGTTGCTTCCATGAAAGGTTTTTTATGTGGGGTTTTGGGGGTTTTCTTTTTCTTTTCCCTTATTTTCTAAATGCTGCCCTTTCACACTGTTGTCTAGCCTTGTATTGCAATAACAGACTGTTATCGCCTCTATTTTTCGCTGCTGCTGCTGCTGCCTACAACCATTTTCACTGCTGATATCCAGCTCTGTGCTTGGCTGCTTATCAATTCCCTACATGTTCTGCTGCTTAAAATCAGATTTATTTTCGTTCCTCTAAGGCCCATTTCACAACTTTGTCTTGTGTTTCTTTTCATTAAAGATTTTCAGGTAAAGACACATGCCACCCATATCTACTCCTGTGCCTTGGAAACTCCTCTGTGAGGTCTGAAAATTAGTATCTCTGAAATGGCTTAGCCCTCTATAGGAGAGGTGAGAAGGACCAGCTATTCAGGGCTGCTGTATTTTGGTACCTCTGTTAGCAAGGCAGTTTTCCAAAAGGTATCAAGGTTCAGTTAACTTGAAGCTGCTGTGGCTATGGCCCTGACCCCAGGTAGGGGCTAGAGCGAGAGCCATAGCAGCCATGTGCCCTCCGCCCCCCATCCCCTTGTATTTAATTCTAAGATGAGGGTCCTTCCACCCCATGTTAAATAGGGGGAAGCCTTCATCTTAGAATCAAATAAATATGGTAAGTACAACTATGGACCCTTCACCAATGTAAATTCAACACAGCATTTTTTATTCTTGTGGAGCTGTGCTAATTGACACCACCAGAGGAATGGATTCTCTAGTTTTAATGTATAGCAACCATGACTGTGTTAGGAAAAGTAAAGCTAATGAATAGTCACTATATAAATGCTAGTGTTTCTAAAGCCTGTGTGGTCTGTGATTCTTCACTTATCTAGGTTCAATGCCTCAAGAGCAGAAAATCACTAGTGAAGAAGGAATCTCTCAAGGCGTAGTACTTATTTCACTCACCAAAGAATATACACAGAGCAAAAATACTGCAGTTAAAGATCTAAGCCTCACTTTCTACAGAGATCAGATCACAGCTCTCTTGGGGCCCAATGGAGCTGGCAAGACAACGGTTATGTATGTCCATTGTTTAACAATGAACTGTTACAGTTTTTTCCACTTATTTGGTGCTCTAAAATGTGTTTGTAATGCAGCAAATGAACTCTAGGCTTATTAACTTCTTATTACACTTTTTTAAGGTGTAAAGGACTCAAAAGGTATAACTGACATGGGTTAACTGGACTGAATTTGCCTTGGTGCATGGCAAAACCAATGTATTGCTCTGGAAAAGTGGGCCTCCTTGAGCAGAGCTTCCTTAATAGAGCAACTCTTTTTAAAGCAGTTGTGGTGGTAGAAGCTGTAAAGGGGAAGGGTGGAAGAAAAGGTGGAAGATGGTTCTTATGTAGAGGTGCATAGTGACCTCTGGGAAACCTTCTTGCACAGCATTGCACCTTTGCACCTACCAGATGGAGAACTTGGAGGCTTTCTGGGTTTGCAGGCTTTGCTCTTCAATGTTGAAGATAGTATTTTCACAAATGGAGGGAAGCAGAAATAACAAAATGAAAATCATTTTTAAAAATGTGGTTTAATTAAAAAGTTAATTTATTTCTGCCCTTTCTGTTAATTGAAATATCAAGAATTCTGACCATTCCCCCCCTAAGCTTCCACAGGTACATAAATTACTAATAAGAATGAATTAGACTGTAGATTAAATCAACTTGATTAACTTGAGTAAGGGATGCAACATGGAGTCCCTATAAGGTAGGAGATATATCTGATCATTTGCTTACTGTTAAACTTTAAATATATTTATTATTTAAACATAATTCAGTTGAATGCTTACTTTTGCTAGAAAAATGACCCTGGTTTTGGAAGCACCAAGGAAGAGGAGAGATGATTGAAATCTGGGTTAATTAGGAAAAAAAATAATTATTAGCATCTTTTCTGTAATTATAAAAGGGCAGATATCTCCTGGCACAAGTCAGTATTGTACGAAAGTAGCTAATAGAAATACTTTGATCTACATGAACTGAGTACCAGCCTCAGGAACTCAAGGGCTGCTATTTATATGATGCAGCTCTTAAATAAGAATTACTGAAATAAATGAATCAATGAAATTCAGGATACAACATACAGTATGGCTTGAACATGGTGTGTGCTTCTGAATTTCTCTTTTTTCTTGTATCAGATCAATGTTGACAGGCCTGTCCCCACCCAGTTCTGGTACCATTATCATCAATGGAAGGGACATGCGTACTCATCTGACTGCTGTCAGACTGGAAATTGGTGTTTGTCCACAGCACGATGTACTGTTTGACATGTTAACTGTGCAAGAGCATCTGTTGCTTTACGGCTCAGTGAAGGCGTCTCATTGGACAAAGAAACAGTTAAACCAACAAGTCTTTAGGTTAGTGGTTACTATTTTTCTGTCTGGAAAGCACTATTGTAGGCTGTAATTTCATAACCACTCCAAGAACACCGGGTCCAACAAACAAAGCCACATGAAGAGTTAGAGTCCTAATTGCTAGAGTCCAGTGAGACCGAATGCAATTATAGGAATATATCTTTTAGCAAACCTTTGGTGACAATTATAGAGTATTTTAAAATCTAGGCTCGCCTATCTTTAAAATAAATAGGCAAAGGAGTTAAAAACAAGCAAACAAATACCAAGTTGGAACAAGATAGACAAAACCAGACTATGGTTTCTTCTCTTCTGTACAGAGCCTAATGTAATGAAGCAATCCTGACTATAGTCAATCCTGACTATAGCCTTTAAATCTGATTCTCAACCAGGGGCTCACAACATGCTGGGGTGCCTTAAGACCCTTTCAAGGGTGCTGCAGGGGTCACACAATATTTGTGTACCCAACAGTGCTAACATGATTCATGAGATAAACCAGAGATTTCAAATACGAATCAATAGTTTTAAAATAATTCTGACCTCTTGTGGTCTTTCCAATTTCTTTGCAACAGAAGAATTGTTCTATTACTTTTCCATAGCCAAAAAACAACTGAAAACCTGAGAGGGGTGCCTTGACTCTAATGAGGTTGAGAACCACTTCTGTGTCTAGTGGGAAGGCCACAAGGTACTGCCTGAGCTGAAATGAATGTTTCAAAGAGATTCCTAATCATGGACTTCCTTGGAGTTCATGTGGACTCAGGAGTTTGCCCATGCATATCCTAGTACAGTCCAGGAGCCCCTAATCATAATTAAGAACTTAGTCCTAGGCACTGCTTGCAGATGTGGAAAAAAACCCCCAAAACAGTGCTTTACTTTAAATTTGCTGCACTCCTTTACCAAGCCCCGTGCATGCCCAGAAGAGGCGTCGCGTTAGTTGCACCCGGCTTTCCCAATGTCTGTATAATGGGCCTTTTTTGTGCTTTTATCTAATAGCTGATTGAATCAGCTGTTAGATAAAAGCACCAAAAAGCCTTACTGAAGCACCTGATCTATACAGATCTCGCAGGTCAAAGTAATGGTAAAGCATGTTTTCCCCCCCCCCCCCACTTTTTCAGTGCCCCAAATAATGGGTAAAAAATTTTTCCCCCCCCCACCCCAATCTTTCAGTGCCCCAAAAGATATATGTTTTTACCAAACTTACTGCACTATGGGTAGATTAATTGAAGTCTTCTCCTTAGGTATAAATTCGTGCAGTATCATAACTTTTCTATGAACATACTACTATTAACAACCTGGCCTATTATTTTTTTTAATGTTGAATTTAAAACCCCTCAATTACAGGGGGCACTCTAAAACTCACTTGAATCTCCCGTCTTTCTACAATGTCCCTTCCTTCCCCTCCCCAAATTGTGGTGGTTAGAGACAAAATTTAGATGTAAAGGAACGTTCTTCTAATTTATTTTGGACCACTAGACTAGGAATACCATAGACTTTGTCATAACATTTCTGTGCATGGGTACTCTGCCTTCACAGGAATGATAGGAAAAAAATCTTGCCTCTAAGTAAAGGGAATCTATTGGAAGTCCAGAATTAAATTTTATTGAATTAGGCCCTAAATGCTAAGGAAGGAATGAGCAAAACATGGCCTATAGGCTGGAATTGGCCTGCCAACTGATTATTTTTGGCATGGGGGCAGGTGTCTGTCAATTGATTGGATTCAGCCCACAGTTGCCCCCATGGTGTGCTCCACGTGGGGCTGAGCCCTGCCCCCTCCAGCCTGGGGCAGCCACGCTGCCTCATGCACCTGCCACAGTCCCTGCCCCAGCCCTGGTCAGTGCACAGAGCTTCTTGGCAGGGCTGCTTCTGGTGTAGCTGCAGCTGCCTGGGTACTGCTTGGCTCCCCCTGCCTCCAGTGGCTCCTTCTCTTCCTCCTCCTGACCCTGCTGCACTGTTCCTGGTGAGGGGGAGGGGGGCAGGAGAGGGGAAGCTGCAGCTGGGCTCCTGCTCCAGCACTCAGGGCTCTAGCTCCTGGCTGCCTTGCACCCACCTGCCCACACAGTGCAATGAATAGCCACTTGTGGGTGGCTGAGTGGGTGGAAGGCAGCGAGGAGCTGGAGCTGGAGTCCCATGTTCTCGCGCAGGTATTGCCTGGCTGCAGGCTGTGGCAGGCCAGCGGGGGGCGCTCCTGCACTAAGCCACCCACCTCACTGTGCCTAACCACCTACCAGGCTCCTAGTGTCTCCCTGGGGTGCCTCGCATCCTGCCAATTCCCTTCCCAGAGCACACCCATGAGCCTGGGGTCACCACCCAGAAATCTCAGTCTGTCCACGGCCCTGTGCCCCCTGGGATACACAGGCCTTGTAGACCTTGAAGGTGCTCGACCCCCTGCAAGAACTTGGGGTGCTTCTCTTGGCCTGGAGCACAAGTAGTGGTCTCCCTTAGCTGGACCAAGGAGACACAAAAGCATGTCCCTTTCCCTCTCCCAGCCAGTTCACCAGGCTTAGAACGATGGTGAACTTTTTGATTACAGGAAGTAGGTTTGGGGTGGGGTACAGGAAAGAGCAATATCAAAGAATAGCCTTAAAGCAAACAGTGTGGCTAGGTAGCCATTGATCATGCAACTGCTGTACTGTAAGCTATATATCTAGATAGATCTCAAATAGCTTACTCACAAGTATCATCTAGAAGCTGATTCCTTTCCTCTGGAGGCAGCTAATTTCTTGTGGGTCCAGTTTCGAGAGAGAGGGAGAGGGCTGCAGCGTTCAGCTGCTCTTTCTCTCTCCCCAGGAGTCTTAGGACTCCAATGTGCAAGCTCTCTCCCTGCTTTCCAGCATGGCTCTGCCAAAATGGCTTTCCAAGATAGCTCTCCCTCTCCTTCATGGGGATCTCTTTTATTCCCTATTGTGGCCTCATCGCTAAGGTCCCACCAGGAGCAGCCCCACTGGCTGAAGTCCGGTGCTTTCAAAAGACATCACCTTTCCAGGTGAGGAAGCTAGTCACATGACTTGCAGTGGTGGGAAACTTGAGACAAAGGGAGCAGCTTCCCCTTACCTCAGGAATTTACCTGTCCAGGTCACATAGGCAGAGCTGGTTGCTTGGCAATTAGACCAATAGACAAGTAAGAAGACCATAGCAAGGAAAAACCTAATAGAAGGGTCTGGGGAGATACTCAGAGGGCATTCTGCCACACAGGCCCCCACCTCCCCCCACCCAGAATGGTGCAACAGGGGCAGGAGGAGCCACTGGAGGCAGGGGGAGTTGAACAGCACCCAGGCAGCTGCAGCAGCAATATGAGCAGCCCCACTGTGAAGTTGTGCAGACCGGCTAGGGCTGGGATCATCTGGTAGGCATGGGTGGCAGCACAGTGGGAACAGGCAGGGCTCAGTCCCATGCGGAGTGCTGTGGGGGCAGCTGTGGGCTGGATGGAGGGGTGTGACTACACTAGGGTTACCATATATCCAGGTCCAAAAAAGAGGACACCTGTCATGTGAGGGGGCAGGGGAAATATGGTAGTTGGAAGACGGTGACATGCTGATGCCCTGCCCCTGCCCATTCTGTTGCCCCTCACTGATGAGCCACACCCACCCCCAGCCCTGCTGTTGCCCCTCACTCCGGACCCACTGCCCCCCCCACCCCTGCCAGTGCTCTGCACACCCAACTGACAGTCACCTGTCCCATCCCCTGTACCCCTCACTCCTGATATGCAGCTCCCTGTCCCCCTCCCAGACCTGGCAATGCCCCTCACTCCAGACCCGCAGCTCCCTGCACTCCTCCCAGCACTGCCCAAGGCCCTCACTCCTCACTCACAACCCACTTCCCCCCAGCTCTGCCAGTGCCCTTCACTCCCAACCCACAGCCCCCTGCACTGCCCCCCCAGCCCTGCTAGTGCCCCTCACTCCTGACCTGCAGCCCCCTGTCCCCTAGCCCTGCTGGTGCCCCTCACTTCTGACCCGCAGACCCCTGCGCCGCTCAGACCTGCTGCCCAAGCAGCTCCCATATTGCCTGTGTGCCCGTACTCTCTCTCTTTCTCTCTGTCTTGCCATGACCCCCGACAGCCAATCACTTTGCCTGCTGCTTCCAGCCCCAAGTAGCTAGCCTGGGAGACCAGAAAACCCAGACATTTGCTCTTATTTTAAAAGCTCACCCAGATGCAGCACAAGGGTCCAAAAAAGAGGAGATATTTAGGAAAACCTGGACGTATGGTACTGCACCTGCACCAGTACTGGAACTGCAGCGGGGCAAGCTCTGCTCACCCTTCCCTCCTGCCGCCCCTTTCCTTTCCCACCCCTGGCCTGCTCCTGGCACTGAGTGCACCCCCCCCACACATGCACATCCACTCTCCCACCCCTCTACAACTTCCCCCACATGCAACCCCCCCCACTCCCATATGTCCACCCAGCCCCCCAGCCCCCATGATGTACGAGAACCAGGCTTTATTTTGAGCTATTATACAGTTGCCTCTATATACACTACTCAAAAACATAAATCCGGGGAAAAATATTTTTTGAAATAAAATTAAAATGTTACAGTAGATGTTTTATTTTTAGTATATGATTTGCTTTTTTATTCCATAATATGTTAAAATGGTATCTGCTAAAAGATTTTGTGTGTGGTCCTTGACAGCTCACCAAAACTCATTAAGCGGCCCTCTAGCTGAAATAATTGCCTACCTCTGTTCTAAGGGCCTCTGTTTTTTAAATTTTTAAAAATTTTTCTTGGTTTTCTATACAAAGAAACTCAGATTTTTATTATAGCATCTAGCAAGATATGGAAGTAGAAACGAAGTGTGTGTTCATATGAAATCTGCTTTTTGCTGCAGAAATTTTGCTTCCTTAAAAAGGCCGATTAGTTGAAGTTAGAGTACACAGGGAAGGACAGAACAATTCAGCAGATTAGCATAAGGCTCCCCAGCCTTTTATCTATGCTTGCCAGTTCAAATTGGTCTAGGTTCATGGTGATTGAAAGCTGTTAGCGTCTGGTGTCTGTTCACTGACCTATGTGAAATA